ACAACATCCTTTGGAAACGTAAAAATTAAAATATTAGATACGAAAAATCGAAGAATATATAAAAATTTGGTAATTATTTATTTTACCATAAAACTCTGATTTTTCTAATTAAATTTTGACAACCCTCCTTTTCCAGGGTGCTGAACATGAAGTTAGTTTTTTGCAATTTTTTCGATCGCATAAAATAATATCACATAAATTTTCAGCTCCATCAAAATTACGGGAATTGGAAGAATTTCATATAAATTGGAGACTTTTACATAAAGTAAATAATTCCTAAAAATATGTTACAATAATTTATTCATTATTGTATCAACAATAATTTATAATATCATGTTTACCATTGCATTATGTGGGCGAACAAAATTATAAAGTCAACCATGAAATATTCAGACCCTAACCAAGAAATGGCGTATATAGTGGATCAAAACGTTTTATATATTGCTTATTTTATTTATCTAGGGAAGAAAACTTTTCGGTAACTTGTTCACTTATATTATATAANCGTAGTTATAGCCGATCAAAGTTAACCGTCATTAACACTAAATGTACTGGGACATCCGGGCTAATTTTTCGAAAAATACCTTTGGTATTCCGAGTACTTGCTAGGTCTAAGATTACAATAGGTACTTTTCCTCATTGGCAATCTACTTTAAAACGTGTTTAAAGTTATTTATGCAAGCGAGAAATTCAAGAAAATCGTACGGGTGGTGGTGGTGGGGGAAGCTGAGAGCGCGGCCGCTTCGGTCTGCTCGAAATTGAACCGCTGAGTTCGGCTATCAACGATCTAGTAAGTAAGCAACTAAACATAATTTAAATTTTAAAATGTATATTTTTTTCAAAGTATTGGGCGGATTATAAAATTTAAAGTCTGTTGTAAAGAGCATTGTAAGAGCATTCAAAAGAAATATTACTCAACCTCCAATGCCATTTAAATATTTTGTGGTAATGCTTACCCTTGCTTGGGTGTGAAAGTGGCGGAGCTAAAATACCAGCAAAGAATGTCGCAAAGAATATCCCCCACTAATCTAAAATCGACGGGTCTGAGCGTTTTTCTACAATCTTGGCGCAGTTCCTGAAAATGGCTGTTTCGTTTTCATTTGGCCACCCTGTATAACATCTTCTTTTGTAGGAGTAGGCAATTGTAAATTGTTAAAAATGGGGAATAATAAATTTTTAGAAATAAATTGCATACATTATTTTAATTTTAATACCGACCCATATTATGAATGATCAAAACAATAGAAAATAAGAACATAATATGTTGTTAAAATTCAAAATTAGTAATAAAAAAGTGGCGGAATAGCTTATATATCGATAATTCGCTCCCNAAAATAATATCACATAAATTTTCAGCTCCATCAAAATTACGGGAATTGGAAGAATTTCATATAAATTGGAGACTTTTACATAAAGTAAATAATTCCTAAAAATATGTTACAATAATTTATTCATTATTGTATCAACAATAATTTATAATATCATGTTTACCATTGCATTATGTGGGCGAACAAAATTATAAAGTCAACCATGAAATATTCAGACCCTAACCAAGAAATGGCGTATATAGTGGATCAAAACGTTTTATATATTGCTTATTTTATTTATCTAGGGAAGAAAACTTTTCGGTAACTTGTTCACTTATATTATATAAATGAGAAAAACCGAAAAAATCATTTTTTTTTCAAAATTAATTTTCTTAAAAACCACATCATTTATTTCACCAAATTTGGATATGTTTTTCTAGGCCAAATAAGCTATTTAGCCGAGCGGCAACCAACTTGCCTCGTTTGGGACATGCGGTTTCGAAAATGCATATTTTTTTTCAAGTGGGCGTCATTTTGATTCAAATCATCCTGTCGAAACGTTTTATTTTTTTCAAAATGTGCAGAATTTTATCAGCTTCTATCTGTTTTATTTAGAATTCAAATTGCTTTAAAACACGGAAAAGAGTCATTTTTTCAAAATTGATTTTCTTAAAAACCCCACTTTTTATTTTCATCAAATTTGGATATGTTTTTCAAGGCCTGTTAGTCGGCAATATGTCGACTTGCTCCGTTCGGGAGATACGGTTCGCAAAAACTATATTTTTGCAGTTTTTCAGTATTCAAAAGTATTAATACTTTTAAAAAATGAAGATTTGCAAAAATTTCGAATTCAAAAGACCGAGGAATAGAAAGGAATTCAATCAATTCACGGCATTACTAATAGTCATTTTTGGTTATCCAAGAGATTGATGCTGAAGGAAATGTAAATGTAGAAAGTTCAATATAGAAAAACAAACAAACAATTTTGCCTCAGTGTTAAGTTTTGATTAATATGCGTGACAGACTGGGTTCTAATATTGCTACCTATTGTGGGTAAACATGTTCGCAAGTGACCCATTTTAAGTATTACGTCAAGAGCGTCAGCCTGACCCCACCCGGACCGGTCTAACAGTTGCAAGGACAACAAACAGACGCAAGACGCAACAGGATTCCAGAAAAGATTCACGGCAGATTGGCGCCAAGGACCAGATACTTCTGCGAGCGTCTCCACACCAGACGACTTTCCAGCGAACGCTCGCTCCGACAACACGTCTTTTTCACTACACTTTTCAATAGAAATATTTTTATTTTTACCGTTGAGAGAGAGTTTTATTTTACTGTACACCGAAAGCAACCCTCACTATTATACTGATTTCAAAAGAGTAAATTACTGTAACTCATTAACAAAATAATACACTTTATTTCATTCATATATATGATGAATGTTGATTTATACTGATTATTTTAGTCATTTCTACGTTGACTTGATGATGATTGTTAAAATTATTATTATACGAGCTTTGCGAAATCGTTTCTCCCGAATAGAGCAAGTTGGCATATTGCCGCTTGGCTAAGAGAAAGCTTATTTGGCCTTGAAAAACATCAAAATCTGATAAAAATAAAAGCTGGCGTTTTAGTCATTTATCTCACAATGTTTTAAAGTTTAAAGCACCGAAAAGAAGATATTTTATCAAATTTTAATTTTTAATGTATTCTTTATATATTTTGGTAACTCCGTAAAACAAAAACAAATTTTTTTGTTTAGTAATTGCAGGGAGCATACATATAAATCACATGTTTATGACCAGATTGTACCTAATAGAGATTGCGCTGCATATATAAAAACAATATAAATGCTTGATATAGTTTATTTCTGAAGATACATTAGTAATTAATCAATGGAGGTATAGCATATTTGTCGATAATTTTTTCCCACTTGAGGTATTTTTTTGGATTCTTCTGCATCTCGAGTGTATCGTTGATGTGCAAATACACCAAATTATTTGGACTAACTTTCTCCCACGTCACATTACCCAGGAAACTGTCCACTTCTGGAGTTGGGTTTCTAAAATAAATCATGCATAAATATTATTACACGAGGTTCTGAATATAAGTACTCACAGGTATTTGACAAAGTTTGACCATAGGGTTAACAAACGTTGACTTGTTATAATATCTTCTGGATCATCAGAATCACTAGGAATGCGCGAGTTCCAGAAATAAACCACTTCTTCAGCGTGTCTAACACCTCGAACACCTGAAATCAGATTATGTAGTACAGTCGGTATAGTATTTGTTGAGATAGAATTCCAAGAAAAGAATAAGCCAATTTGTTATCGGAACTGCTGGAACGATTTATAACAGCAGGGACGTCCCTTGAAATTTTCCGCGTTATTTTCAGAATATTGAAANAAACAATAGAAAATAAGAACATAATATGTTGTTAAAATTCAAAATTAGTAATAAAAAAGTGGCGGAATAGCTTATATATCGATAATTCGCTCCCATCTGAGGTATTCCTTTGGATTTGTCTGCACTTCGAGTGTGTTGTTGATGTTCAAATACTTCAAACTGTTCGGAGTAACTTTTTCCCATGTTACGTTGCTCAAGAGACTGCCTTTCTCCGGAGTTGGATTTCTGAACTGAAGATTTGCAAAAATTTCGAGTTCAAAAGACCGAGGAATGGAAAGGAATTCAATCAATTCACGGTATTACTAATAGTCATTTTTGGTTATCCAAGAGATTGATGCTGAAGGAAATGTAAATGTAGAAAGATCAATATAGAAAAACAAACAAACAATTTTGATTAATATGCGTGACTGACTGGATTCTAATATTGCTACCTATTGTGGGTACACATGTTCGCAAGTATTACGTCAAGAGCGTCAACCTGACCCCACCCGGACCGGTCTAACAGTTGCAAGGACAAAAAATAGACGCGGACGCAACAGGATTCCAGAAAAGATCCACGGCAGATTGGCGCCAAGGACAAGATACTTCTGCGAGCGACTCCACACCAAGACGACTTTCCAGCGAACGCTCGCTCCGACAAAACGTCTTTTTCACTACACTTGGTTTTCAATAGAAATATTTTTATTTTTACCGTTGAGATAGAGTTTTATTTTGCTGTACACCGAAAGCAACCCTCACTGTTATACTGATTTCAAAAGAGTAAATTACTGTAACTCATTAACAAAATAATACACTTTATTTCATTTGTATATATGACAAATGTTGATTTATATTGATTCTTTTAGTCATTTCTACGTTGACTTGATGATGATTGATTCCCCGTGTTAAAATTATTATTATACGAGCTTTGCGAAATCGTATCTTCCGGAAAAGAGCAAGTTGACATATTGCCGCTTGGCTAAGAGAGAGCTTATTTGGCCTTGAAAAACATCCAAATCTGATAAAAATAAAAGCTACCGTTTTCGAGTCAATATTGAAAAAAAAAAAATGTTTTTTTCCGTTTTATTCATTTATCTCACAATGTTTTAATGTTTAAAGCAACGAAAAGAAGATATTTTATCAAATTTTAATTTTTAATGTATTCTTTGTATATTTTAGTAACTCCGTAATAACAACAAAAAATTGTTTGTTTAGTAATTGCAGGGAGCATACATATAAATCACATGCTTATGACCAGATTGTACCTAATAGAGAATGCGCTGCATATATAAAAACAATATAAATGCTTGATATAGTTTATTTCTGAAGATATATTAGTAATTAATCAATGGAGGTATAGCATATTTGTCGATAATTTTTTCCCACTTGAGGTATTTTTTTGGATTCTTCTGCATCTCGAGTGTATCGTTGATGTGCAAATACACCAAATTATTTGGACTAACTTTCTCCCACGTCACATTACCCAGGAAACTGTCCACTTCTGGAGTTGGGTTTCTAAAATAAATCATGCATAAATATTATTACACGAGGTTCTGAATATAAGTACTCACAGGTATTTGACAAAGTTTGACCATAGGGTTAACAAACGTTGACTTGTTATAATATCTTCTGGATCATCAGAATCACTAGGAATGCGCGAGTTCCAGAAATAAACCACTTCTTCAGCGTGTCTAACACCTCGAACACCTGAAATCAGATTATGTAGTACAGTCGGTATAGTATTTGTTGAGATAGAATTCCAAGAAAAGAATAAGCCAATTTGTTATCGGAACTGCTGGAACGATTTATAACAGCAGGGACGTCCCTTGAAATTTTCCGCGTTATTTTCAGAATATTGAAATATATATAAAGCAGATTTTTTGGATGGAAGTGTGTTTTTATTTCTTATCCAGTACAGTAGAGTACAAACCGTAAATAAACTAGACGAAACTAGATGAAGTACAAGAAAAAGAATAAACAAAGAAGCATGTATTAAGTAACATTAAGTAACCTAGTACAGTCCTTAATTTGATAAATTCGTCTTTATCACTAGAACTTCCAGAAGCTGTTATAATCAAGTCTTTAACTACCACATCAACTCGAATCTCATTTTGCAGGTAATTATTCTTCAAGAAATTTCTTCTGAAATGTTTCCAAATGTAGTGATTGTGTAACAAATATTGGGAACCAAATGATGGATGTATAGATGCGTGCTCAAGTTTTAACCTGACAAAAGCATTATACAAAAGAGACAATACAATTTAAAATAATGTACCCAAATTTTTAAATTCTATGCTATACAATTCTGTAACTACATTATACTCCTAAACAATAGGCTTAATTTTTATTGTATATGTTATAATGCAACATTTTGATATATTCTGTGACTGTATAGTATTTTGTCATCATTCATTCGCTCTTGATAGATATATTTTTGAATACAATCCAATATTTAACAAATGAAACAGAAGTGATTAGTTTGAATAAAGCTGTATAAAAGAACATTATTAACTCGAAGGTTATCACAAATATCATCAATTATAATGGGTAAAAAGCTCAACACTGGGGTACTCCACATGAATCAACAATTTCAAATTAGCTAAAATCATGATAGTGAACTCTCAATAATCTGTTAGATTCAAAAACTTTATCAGCAAAATTTGATAATTTACGAATGTCTTAATAAATAATTACACAAAATTGCGTATGGGCCTGTAATTTTCAAAATGTTTGCCACATGTTTTGAATATAGGTCAGAATTTGACTTTAACCCAACTACCCGCATAAGGCTTGATATTAGAGGTGCCAAATTAAAAATTGTTGTCAAAGTATTGTCTTAATATCTACTGATTTTTTTATACAGGCCAAACTTTTGTGTTTTTAAAGAGAACACCCTACATATTTGTAATTTTTTTAAATCTCCTTTTTTTTTCTATTTATACAATCATATATATGCTTTGACAGTTTGCACATTATTTTGGTTTATTTACTGATCCTCCATAACTGATAACGTCAAAGTCCATATAAAAAAAAACACACCACAGAAATGAGACAACCCCCAAATCCAAAAGCCAAAGGCTTGTGCGGAAGGGGGCTACACTTGAGAAAACGCGGACAATAATGGAATAATTAATGCGTGTGTGCGCTTCGCTGCTAAATTTACTGAACAATTTTCTAAATTTTTGGAAAAATATCTGACTGTAGACAGCGTTTCATTATTATCTATCAGATAAAACGCCTGTAGTAGAAGTATATATTACGTAGTTGGAAATATTAAAATCACCCAACACCCAATAATACTAACATGTCATAATTCAAAGATGTAGATTAGGAGAAATTCATACATTAAAACGTACGCGGAAAAATGGTTAAGATTATTTTAATAGAAAATGCAATTAAATGAGCAAAAACTGAGACAACTATTTGACTGAAGAATAAATATGTCTACATTTCAAAAACCTTTCTCGATTGCTTTCTATGTCCTAACGTTATAGGTATTTGTTAACATTGCTTGAATACAGAAAACTTACCTGCAATTTCTAAATCCTTCATACCTCCCATATTGCCTTTGTATGAAAACTGGTACATATAAACATCGGTATAGTTGGATTGTAACTTTGCATGCCTAATAGATGGGGTTGTAAACAAGTCGTCACCGTAAAACTACAAAAGGTTTTATTATATTATCGATCATTTGATTCAATTATTTGTATGCTCTTTAAACGTTGTTCTTTTTTCTTTGAAGATAGTTTGAGAAAACGATTTGAAGCTGTGAATTTTCTTTCTTTTTTAGAAGGCACTTTAATGGAACATGGTAAAACAAAATTAGTGTAATTTCTGGTAGGAATCTAATTTTTTTGGAAGTAAATTTTCTCAAACATGATAAAATAAATGATAAAATAAGACAGTGCCCCACATAACAAAATTGTGACTTCTCAAGTCCATCCAATTTCTGAGGTTTAATTACGTGTCCGTGCAGATTTTATGAAAGGTTAATAAGCTATTTTTTTCGTGACTGTAAAATATTTCCTTTTGAACTAGTAACAATTTCAACAAACACATGAAAAGCAGCTAGAAGATATATTGATGTTACCTTCACTACTTGCCCAGGATCGTCTTCGAATGTTCCATTGGTGTAAATTTTTCTCAATTTAGTGCCGGCTTCCAGTTTGTTCTTTTTGGTCATATTGAACTGGTTTCTAATGACGTTGGTTAAATCACTGTCGAAATATTTCGCACTCGTCTCAACAGCTGACTCTTAAAATATCGGTTGGTATTGTTAATAAATAATAAGACTTTTGACTTAACGTCAACTTACCACTTGGGAGAAACGCTAGTCCTTCCTCAGAGTTAAAGCCAATAATTATGGGAACTTGGTTTATGTTTCCTGTTCTAATGTCTTCATGATATAAACCCGTGAGGAGTGCTCCGTCTAGATTAGCATCCTCAATTACAGGCAGCCATATTAAAATGTCCAATAATGAAGACTCTTTTCCAACAGCAGCCTATGCAAATTTTGATTACTTATAGTGTATGATCTATATTAAGTTTTTAACTTCTTACTCATTACCAATCTATATAAAAAAATACATTCATTCAACTTACAGTAACTGAGTTGTCGTTTATGTCGGAAGCAGGAAGGCTTCGCAACAGTTCCAGTAATTCCGTTGAATTATCCGAAGTGAAACTTGGATCCAAACTTCGAGCTAATTCGAAAGCGTAGAATCTTGCATAGCTTTGATGTGCCCACTGAGACAATGAGGTACCACTTTGTAAAATGCCACCTCTGAATAAGCCTTTATTCCGTTGACTTAATAAATGTAATCCCACAGATCCCGCTCCGGCACTTTCACCTGATATCGTTATTTTTTCGGGGTCCCCACCAAATAAATGGATATTATTTTTAACCCACTGAAAGGCGAAATGTTGATCTTTTAATCCCAAGTTTCCTGGTATGACTCCGTCTTCTGTTGTCAGAAATCCTGAAAGAATATGAATTGAGACTTTAGAATAAATTAAGAATAAGATTATCAGAATTTTAGGAGTGGGTTTTAACTTGTCATATCTGCTATTTTGTAAGTACTATCTGTTCCAAAGCCTATGTTTGATATTGTTTTCGAGAGGTCGACTACTTCGATTTAAATTTTGAAAATTTGCGAAACCGGGTTTTCGGGTATGCCCTTCTCAACTAAAATAATGGCGTCCACGTACCACTTCCGGTTATAACGGATTTCGCCATCAACTTGCTTGTTTTAAATGGAACACCCTATATATTATTGAAATTTTGGATTCTACGTGTTATTTTAGGTGGACTTTTATGAATTTTCCCTATTCCTAAAATTAACCGTTTTCGGGATATTCAATTTTTTTCAACAAAATGGAGAGAAATAGTGACTAGCTTCAAACCATGTGTATTATATAGTAAGAAAGATAAAGCAACAATATTTATAGGAGGGATAGCTAGACCCCTAAGCCTCCCATCCATACTTTCAAAGTGGCTTAATTGCATATAGGGTGCTAGAAATTTAATGCCGAGTTTAGTTAACTCCAAACCTTCATAAGTCGGTTTTTTTAAACGGAACAGCCTGTGTGTTTTTCTATATTCTGATACACAATTTTATTCTCTTTCGAACCGTATCAGGGTACCCTATACCTATCTCTTCTAGTTTTTAAGTTATCTACTATTTTTTGTGTAATCACTTAAAATCATATAATTTCTTGCGAGGATAGCTGTGGAATTTTTAGCAAAACTTCAAAACAAACAACTAAACTGTCAATTTGTTGTTAGTCTCTTGCAGTGACAGTTTAATTTAGTGTTTATAAGAAATGGAAAGCAATACATATTCAAATGCTGATATTTTAAATTTATTATTCATTCACGGACTTTGCAATGAGATTATAAGCAGAACATGTACAGTTTTTAATGAGATATATCCAAATTTGCCACCAATGAGCAGAAAAAAGTTAAGAAGAACTTTAGCAAATCATCTAGAGTATGGTCGAATTTGTGCAGAAAGAATTTTACCAAACCCAATAACTTCAAATGAAGGTAATGTAATAAATGTGCTAGCCTATTTTAATGTTCATCCAGAATCCTCGACTTGTGCCGCAGGGTATGATTTAGGCATTTCACGAGCGTCCATTGACAGGATGCTAAGAACTAATGATATACATCCATACAAATTTAAGCTACTTTCTGCTCTTCTTCCGGGTGACGCCGTGCAACGTGTACAACTATAACTTTTTTAAGTCATTTGAAGTTGAATTTTTAGAATTCCTTTTAACTTTAATTCTGCTCAATGGTGGAAAATTGGGATATGTCTCATTAAAAACTGTAAATGTTCTGCTTAGAATTCCATTGTATCGTCTGTGAATAAGTAATAATAAATAACTGGTGACAGTTTAGTTGTTTGTTTTGAAGTTTTGCTTAAAATTCCACAGCTATCTTCGCAAGAAATTACATGATTTTAGGTGATTACTTACATAATAAATAGTAGATAACTTAAAATCTAGAAGAGATAGGGATAGGGAACCCTGATACCGTTCGAAAGATAATAAAATTGCGTAGGTATCAGAATATATATAAACATACAGAGTGTTCATTCAACATTTGAGATATGACCGACAAGGACTCATTCAGGGATTCACTGTTAAATATATTATAGAGAACATTTAAGCTGTCCGTTCTCGATATTGGTAAATAAATAACATTGCAATGACTGGTAATTCAAGGGACATAAAAATTTAGTCTTGATATAATTTCAGCCATATATACTTTACATTATTAGAGTTTTAATCTCTGTCACTTGGTCATACATAATTCGATAAGTTGTTGCGTCAAAATTAAAACATTATTACAATTTTAATTTCATTATTCTAATTTTTAAAAATGTACATGAACAACCAAAACTCCAAATTAATATTATACTTTAAAAAATTACAGTAGGTAAATGTTCAAAAACGTTTCCGTTTTGGCAAATGTTGAAAATGAAGATAAGCATAATATGATCGGAATTTATTATACCTGTAACCGCAACTGTGAAAAGGCATGTCAGATGTATTTGTATATTTCCAAAATTTTGTTTTTTTTTCAAATATACGAAAACTAGTCATGTTAGCCTTGATTTTTTAGAGGCATAATGTTGGTCCCCTGATTACACAACTTTGCCCCCATTTAAACTAATTTGTATCTCTTACCGTTTTCGAGATCCCTGTAGTGAGAAGCGAATTTGTAACAGCCTGTATATGATTGACACAGATCTATACAGGCTGTTACAAATTCGCTTCTCACTACAGGGATCTCGGAAACGGTAAGAGGTACGAAATAGCTTAAATGGGGGTAAAGTTGCGTAATTAGGGGACCAACATTATGCCTCGAAAAAATCACGGCTAACATGATTAGTTTTCGAAGTATTTGAAAAAAAAACCGAAATTTTGGAAATCCGTGTTTGTTTAATTTCTGCCTTGTTTGAGGAGATATTGAAAAAAGAAGAACACTTTCTCATGGCCACTTTTTGCCCTCTATCGAATGGCATAATCAATTTTTATATGTAACGTTTCGTCTCTCCAGGACCATCATTAACTTCATTTTTTTAAATGCGACCCTGGAAATTTTAAATAGTTTAAATAACTAGATGGATTTCACAGGGTCTAACGACACTTACAGTGTACGATAATTCAATAAACAAAGAAATCTAAATAAAAAATTTAGATACATTTGGAACGAAAACACTGAAGATGAATTTTTCTAGACAAAACGTCTCAATCTGGTTAGGGCTGAGTAGTACAGTATTCCCCAATACATGAAGGCTTGCAAAAAATGAAATAAAATTTCCAGGGCCGTATTTTAAAAAATGAAGTTGATGATGGTCCCGGAGAGACGAAACGTTACATATACAAATTGATTATGACGTTCCATAGATGGCAAAAAAATGGCCATGAGAAAGTGTTCTTCGTTTTTCAATATCTCCTCAAAGAAGGCTGAAATTAAACAAATACGGATTTCCAAAATTTCATTTTTTTTTCAAAGATTTCGAAAACTAAGAGAAGCGAATTTGTAACAGCCTATTACATCAAGCCTACTTACATCAAGTTTGTATCTGCTGAATTCGGTATAAATACCAGTGCTAGTGGCGGAGATACTGGGGATTACTTACACTAAGAACTTCAGAAATTGGACGCTACTGAATAATTTGATAATTCTGTCACTACTAGTTTCCACATTCTTCATCAAACGCCTTCAGAAATATTTTAGAAACGGTGATTTTTTTTTAAATTTCAACACCCTCTATCTCGAAAACTATCAAAAACTATCGATTGTGGATTGTTCATGAAACCTTTTTCGTTTAATATCACTGAATTCATCCCTCAAATGTGTGCACACACTTAATTAACACCCTATATATTGAACTGAATTTATATAGATGTTTCCAAACTTTAACAACAATTTTCGATTGGATGGTGTATAACATCGGTTTGTGTTTTTTGTACCCTTACTGAAGTGTCATACGAATGAAATCCACAGAAGAGATTATTATGTCAGTTGGAGAAATAATTGTATAACTATTTTTTCCTCTTGAAATATGCCCAGAATTTTTTTTCATTTTTTAAATTTCGTTTTTGACTCTGCACGAAAAAGTTATAAGGTGCTGTTACCCTGATTTTATCTTATTTCTTAATATCTTAAATCTGTCATATCCCCAGTTTTTTTATAGTTTTTTTGTAAAATGACCAATTATGTATTCTAAAAAGGGTAAATATTATAATAATGATGATTATAATAATACTTGACCAATTTTGCAGTATTTCAGTTGTCTCAATATCTCCAAACTTTTAGCACTACAAATGTTCTTTTAACAGTCCTAATTAATGAAATTGTAACGATGCCATTATTGTTATTATTTTTACCAAAAGCGTTTCATATTTATTAGTTACCTAGAGCTCCTAAACGGTAGTTTATCGTGACAACAACAATATTGTGGTCAATGAAGAGTCCAGGTTTGTATATCTGAATAGCACCAGTTCCACTTTCATATCCACCTCCGTGTATCCATATTAACACCGCTAATGGGGTTTGTGAAGTATCTCCAGGTTTCTAAAAGAAAATATGCATCAATAAAGACAATATTTGAAAAATAACAGTAAAGTAACTACAACTTTAATATTTTGATGTGTATAATTTTACTGGAGCTACACCTGTATCAATCACATTTTTGCATAACTTTATTATTATGTAAATAGCAAATAAATGTTTCTGGTCACGAATGCACCGCTCGTTAAGCTCATAATTATCCATATTTTATTTTTTTTCTTTGAATTTAGTCAAATAATAGTAATAGTGATAGACATCAGCAAAAAGAGTGTGATAACAATGTCCAGAATTGTTGATACTAAAATCAACTATCAGTATCAGCTAATTGTATCTATTCTTACCAGAGGAGTGTAAACATTCAAGTACAAACAGTCTTCCGTTGAGTTTAATCCGGGAATCGGTATGGCGCCGACT